TTAAAATTAATTTTTAACTTTAACCTTAAATTTTTATAGTAATATAATCACAGAATGCATCCTCGTTTGAGAAAATTCATCCTATAGATATTTAATTTTCTTCAACAACGAAATATTCAGTATTGTAAAATAATAACACATCTTCAATTATTACATACATAGAATTTTTGTAGCATTATTATTTGACCTAAACTATCTCGCATATCCCAATATACCTTTCTCGATGCATAGAGATCCGATCAACAGAAAATTTTTGATATAAAATATTTGAAGTTTTATACAAAAGACATGACAACACGATGTGTAAATATTCTCTATTCCTTTTTCAATAGATGGACAAGTTATTCCAGCTCAGAAGCACGAGGATTGTCTGTTTTATCTTTTATTAATTTAGATTATAAAATGTTATCTTCTAATATATTAATATTTCACGGAATAATATATTTCTTTCTAAGAAGAATCTGGTGGCGCTTTCAGGGGAGACCACGTTCACGAGGTGTAAGAATAAATTTTTAAATGAATTGATCTCCACGACCGCACCTTACTTTATAGAATATAATGTGGACCTTCCTCTTAACATAATATTACGTTGTGGGTAGCTTTTAAGTTTGAAAAGGGATACCAATTATTTTTATAGATTTAATAATTTTTTTTTAAGTTATTTGTGGCATTCAAAATTATTCTATAATATTATCAATATTGTATCGGATAATCTTAAATACTAAAATGCAAATCACGCGGAATATGTGACATGTAATTTAGGGCATGTTTGGGAGTGCTTAAAATTAAATTTCAGTGATTATAAATTGTTAGTTCCATAAAATTTGTGAATAATAAGTGAAAAGTAATTGTAAATTTTACGAAATGTGTAGATAAAGAATATGTTTTAACTTATAATTTAAATTTTGATAAACAAGCACTTATACGTTAAAATTGATGGTAAATAATGTCGAATTACTTGAATCAACGTCAAATAATAATAATGATCTTGGAGAAAAATATGCAAATAAGTCACTTCGTAGAATGGAAAAGTTAATAGTTTGTGAAAATTTTTGACTCGTAAATCAAGAATAAGGGGAGGTGGGGGTCAAAGAGGATATTTATATATATATGGAGAGGTATCTATTATAAACTAGGCTAATAGCTTTAAATTATATTCGACGATCGATATTTGCTCTTTTCACGAGAAAAATTCTTGGAGAATGTGATTATAGAAAAATTTTATCGCCTTTGACATAGCTATTCAAGATAAATCTTTAAAACAAAACTAGCTCGTAAGTAGATGCTAACGATGCTAACAATGCTAAAAGCCTTTCTAAGGTAAATTCGAGTGCTTGTACTTTCTTTTCTGCTAAATGGATTAATAAAGAATCGTCAACCATAGTCCCAAAATGAATAGTTTGGTTAGTGGGGACAAGAAAATTAATTTCAACTAGGGAGAAAAATCAGATATCAAAGTAATTCTTAACCATGTTATGATGAGGTTTTAAATTAAATTATGCTGTTTGATATAGCTAAGTATTC